AGTTCTTCTTTGCAGAAAAACAGGTGACAGGGCTGCTCTGATTCACACAACCAGTCCCTTTCTGGGCCCTGGAGATGAGGACAGGAGCACCAAGCTCTTGGGAGTAACAGAAGGTGCGTCCAGTTTGTTGGGGGAAGCTTGGGAGTAGTTTGTGCTATATACATAGATCATAGAGAAGTAAGAGTGGAAGGGACCTCAAGAGATCATCTAATCCATACTGATATATGTACACAACTATTTGTGCCCTAGCATGGAGTTTTCATGTTGTGTGCTCGTGAATCCTGGTATTGTGTGCGACTGTGAAGTGTCTGTATATGTGTGCATAACTGTATAGGTGTATACAGCTGTATAGCTGTAGGGAGTGTTTCCTTGGGGAGTGTACTGTTGTTTAGAGGGGGGTGGTGTGTGAGAGTGTGAGTGTTAGAGAGAGAGAGAGAGAGTTCACCAAGGTGAGCTGCATGTAGGTATAACTGTGTGCGGGTGTACGTGCATGTATGCATGTACGTTAAAGATAAGTAAAGATGTGTGTATGTATCCCGAGAGGGTACAGATACATATGTTTGTGTGCACTTATACTGTGGGAGATGCACATGCATGTAGGTATAGAGGGTGTACTCCAGGGGTACGTAGGGTGGGAACACATACATATGCACATACTCATGCACACGCGCACACACTTTCGAACTATTTCATACATACCCTCATGTCTGGCACTTACAAGCCCCAGAATAATTTCTGTTCTTGCCAATATGCCTCATGTTGTCGCTGCTGAGTTTGCAGGGAGGATGTGAGATTGGGACCAGAGCCCTGGGGTGGAAGGGCACAGGTCTATGGATGTGCAGCCAGTGAGCTGTGTGATGGGAAGGCATGCTGGCAATCATGAGAGCCTGGCCAGCAGGTACCAACTACTGACTCTGCACCACTGGGTTAAACATGTCAGAGAGCGGAGCAGCAGCTGGGTCTCAGGAAGCACAGCTGGCTCGCTGGATCCCACACTGCAGAACCTGCTGAGAACACCAGCCATGCAGAAGCCTGTCTCAGAGGGGTAGCAACATAGCAGGCAACTGGGCAATCTATGCTCCACAGAGAGCAGTGTTTTATGGTTGCTGGCCCTGGCACCAGCTCTGAACAGCCATAGCATGAACAGGGGCTTATGATTTCTGCCTCTAAGATCCAAGGCAAATGCTAGGCATGGAAGGGAAGGAAAGCTAGGATCTCTCCTGGCAGAATGCTCACTATATCCTGCTGCTCCCCACTGGTACCATAGTTCAACTTCTTCTCAGACCTGGCATTATCTCCACTATTGGAGATAGCCTAGCCTAGGGCTATCCAACTTCTAAAAGCCCCCAAGGGCTACACCAGTGGGGGCTGCACACTGTGCAGGATGCACCAGGCAAACCACAGCCGCCTTGGCTCCATGCCACAGGGACATTCCCCTGGCAGCAAATAGATGGGTGGTATAAATCAGCATTACTCTATCGATGTCAGTGGACTGACGCTGATCAACTGAAGATCTGGCCCCAATGTCCAACCTTAAGTTAGGTCAAAGGTGACAATGAGGCTGACAGTCATTTTGTGAACAACAGCTCTGTACATCACAAACCCACCTTGGGGACTGCTGGCACCTGTGCCTAGGAAAGCAGGGGTCCTGGAGCTCATGAGTGAGATGCTCTGGCCTGGCTATGGGGAGAGGGGTTAGTTGAGGGATGGGATAGTAAGGGACTCAAAAATGAAGAGAATCCACAGAGCTAGGGGAACCTGCCCAACCCTGGCTTGAATTATGTCTGCCCTAGTTCTGTGAGCATTATAGTCAGCCACAAATTTTTAATAAGAGAACAGAGCAGTAAGAAAAAAAGACACTGCCTGTGACATACTGTTTCTCACACCAGCCCTGCTCCATAAAGGGCCTCTTTTCTTGGCAAGATTAAGCAATGAAATATTTATCAGGAACAATTATCCAACCAGACCCCCCACCTCTTCCAGGCTGTGCCCCTCTGCCAGCTTGGCACTGCTCACTACAGCCCCTGCTCTCAGCTTCACAGCCAGCGCTGGAGTCCCAGGTCCAGTTCACCAGCTAATGTACAGCCGAGGGTCACGCTCAAGCAGAGTGGGTGACTCCAGGTTAGCAGCTGCTGAGGACTGAGGTGACAAAAGCAGAAGGTGCAGGAAGCACTTCATGATCTGTGTGGGAAGGAGAGAATTGGGGCCCTGCCAAAATGGGGGCAGCACAATCCTGGGGGCGAGGATATATTAATTCCCTTCAGTGAAGAATAGGAAAGTGCTGAACTCTCTCCCTGGAGGAGAATCCCACACCTTCACCCCATTTTCCTGCTGGCTTGTGACATCTTCCACCCAAGAGTGAGCATCAAGCCGATCTCCCTCCCACCCGCCACCTCCTCCCTGCAAGTACAGCACTCTTTGAGCAATGAAAGCAAGGAGGGATTATCTCCAACTGAGTCACCAGCAGCTACAGAACCCTGGGATTTCTCTGGAGAGGCCTCCCATCCAGCCAGGGCCCTGACCTGATCCCTGTTCACTTGAGAGCGCTGATGTGATCATGCTCTGTGTGTACACAGGTATGTGTGTGTGTGTGCATGCACACGCATGCGTGCATACGTGTGCACATGTGCATACAAACAATAGTAGAACCCAGGAGAGGGTCTTCTCCTCCCCATTTCAAGAGCCAGCTTGACCCCAGCTCAGATCCCAATCTCCTGCCATGATTTCCCCTTACACCTTTCTAGGTGGGTTCTTCAGGTCTTCATGTAGCTACCAAGCACGCTCCTGCCACTGCTGGTCTGATACCCACCAGGAAGCACTGCAGCCATCACTCACCCTGCAATTGCCCAGCTCCTCAGCTGACAGGATGATGGTGCCACATTTTTTCCCTGGAATGCCGCTGCAAAAGAAAAGAGAGAGGGGACAGGGTCTGAGTCTCTGGCCTGGCTAAGCCCCAGGGCCTCACTACTCCTGGGATACCCATGTCCCCAGGAGCTCCCCCAGCCCTGGCCTGGACATACCCCAGAGGCTCTGTGCCATCCTCAACTCTGCCACCCAATAACTCACCAGGAGACTGTCGGTGCCCCTGCTCGGGGGACCAGAGCCCACCAATTTCCTGGGAGAAAGATCCCATGAGCACATATGCTTACCCTACCTGTTGCCACTCCCTGCTGCCTACCTACTCCTTGACATCTGCTGGGAATGGGGCAATGGAGGGTTTTATTATACAAGCAGGGGAAGAAACCCACACCCAGAGACATACACCTAAGCTGTTCTGCTAAATAGAGCAAGGCCTTTCTGCTTCATCTCTGCCCCCAGGCATTAATGCTTTGCCCCTCCGTATACTCAGCCCTATAACGCCCACCATCTCAATCAGCCCCTTCCCACTGTCACCACCCCATCATCTCTATCACCCCAGCCACATACCTCCAGCCTCCACATGTCCCACCCATCACTCAGGTTATCACCTTCTCTCTCCCCCACCACCCTCTGTTTCCCTAGATCATTCCCTCCCCATCCTGCTGTCCCTGCCACCCCACCCCTTCGCTTCCTTTCTTTCTTCTCCCTGACATCCTGTTATTTGTCTCCATAAGGTAACACGGAACTAGCATTTTCCCCAATTCCCTCAAATTCTTGGCAATGGGCACTTGCACACATGATGGGGGGTTTAATCCTCAAGGTTTTATTGGATGCCCCCTAAATTGAAATGGTGGGGCATAGAATAAAACCCTGAGGACTAAACCATTTCAAGGGGGGCCCAATTCTGGTTTGGTTTTGTTTTTTGGGCAGAGCTGGAGCCTACCCACAGGTGGGGGGCAAGCTGACAGCTTTACCATTGCAATTTGCAAAGTTGACCATGCAAAGTTGTTTCCCAAAAGCCTTGTGCGTGTACGCTGTAATACCACAAAGCCACACAAAGTGCCATTTTTGTCATGTGTACATGTTAATGGCATCACATGTACAAGCGCCCAATGTGATGGGATCTTTAGGGGTAGGAAGGTAGCCAGCACTTTGCCTGCTCAACTGAGCAACACAGAAGTGTGCTGGGCTAGGAGAAGAGCTCAGAGCTAGAAACCCCTTTCCCCCCTCCCCTCCACAGCCATGATGCAGGTAGTCTATAGGGCTCTGGGTTACCTGTGGGTCTGACTTTCTGGCCCAGCACAGGTCTGCGTGACAAAATGGAGCAAGGCCTTGAAAGCCTCAACTTGTGGTGAAAGCTGAGTCTGGGCTGCATGCTCACGAGGAACTCTAGGACATGGATCCCGGTACTATAGAGCTGCCCTTCCCCCTTTCATAAGGGCCTAGCTAGAGCTTGGACATTTCTCTGGGCTTCAGCTTTTCTTCTCAGGCCTCTCTGGGGTAAGACACCTCTATCTTGAACTGGTTGGCTATTGGGCAGGCGCCTCTTAAGTTCACTGGAATCTGCTTCTGTCCTTTCAAGACATGCCCCTTACAGGCTGGGTTTAGGAAGAAAGAGCCTTGGGCGGTAAGGTCCTGGGTTCTCTTCCTAGCTCTGCTGATGGTCTGCCAGATGGTCTCGAGGCTTTTGACACACGTCATGTTTGTAGTGCTATCTAGCACCATGCAAACCACACAGTGTCATGATCAACCATGCATAGAAGTTGGCTCTCAACGAAGCACCATGCACTGACCAGGCTGTTGGCTGTTTGGGGGAAACACACTGGGGGGGTGATGTTTCTCACACAGACGTTCAATCACGAGGGACTGGGACTGGTTGTGGAACTGAATGACTCAGAGGCAAGTGCTGCAGAGCCCGGACCTGTTGCTGGGAACTGGAGCTTTGGGGTCATTTTTAAGAGGCTCTAATAAGCAACCTAACTGGAGAAGCAATTGCCCAAACCCAGCCTTCAACCCTTCTGAGGCTCCTTCTATTAACATGCTTTGACCAGCTATTGCAAATCTGTGGCTCCGATAGCAGCACACTGATTAACACCAGCCAATGATCTGGTCAAGCGACTTCAGTGGAGCTCCACTGATTTACACCAGCTGGGGATCTGGCCATTTGGGTCTGATGGTGCTTTGCCAATTTAGATCTGGCACGTTGAGTTCAGTGGAGCATTGCTGATTTACACCAGTAGGGAATATGGCCCACTGTCTCCAAGACAGCCCTATATGTGTGTGCAAGGGGGCCTACACAGAAAAGTCATCGCTCCAGAGTGGACTTAACTAGACACTGGTTGGCAAGGCTGAGCCATTCGCTGTTCCAGGTGGCAATGCAGATACTGCAGGGGCTGCTGGGAAGGAGGAGGTGTGTCACTGCTCTGAGTCAGCACCAGTCACCTGGCCGACTGAGCTGACCTGCTGCGGGTCAAATAGATTCAGTCTAAAAAAGACAAACCCATGAGATGCTCTGAGTGACCCTGCCATGATTATGAGCCAATTCATGGCTATTAGCTTGGAGATGGCTAGATTACAGCCATTCTGAGAGCCTCTGCATGGGTGTGATGAACCGCAAGGGGTGGGAGCGAGGCTGACAAAAAGAGAAGAGAGCAAAGTGGAATACAGGGGAGGAAGGAAGAGACCAGAAGAGAAAGATGTTTTCCCAGGTATTGGGCCTGATTTTGAATTACTCCCGATTTACACCAGGGTGAATAAGAGCAGAATTAGGCTCCAAGTCTTTGGCCAACCTCTGGCTCTCACCCCTCAGGCTGTATTCCCATCAGAAAGCCATGCAGCCGGCAGCACGGGGTCTGCTTTCCTTGCAATGAACTTTAATCATGTCCATTCAGAAAGAAACCAAGATTGAGGCAGGAGCCCGGACCCTGCTTGAGTCTAGGTGAATTCCAGGGGGCTAGGATTCATCCTAATATTAGGTTCCCCTCCACAGCTTCCCCAAGTGACAAGAGCATTGCCAGGGCTCTTGCACGGATCCTCCCTACATGCTGCCCCCTGACAGCATGCACCCTTGCCAGCTTGGCGCACCAGCTCCTGTTTCTGCAATGCTACTGAAGAGACCTCAAAGAAGCTGCATGACTCACCCATTGGAGACGGATGGCGTGGGCTTCCCGGTTCTGGAATGCAAGGTGAATGCTCCCATCCTGCCAAAAGTTAGAAAGAGCAGGGATTAGTGTTGGCCACTCCTCAGCTCACAGGAGATATGAAGCGCCTGGGATCAGCATTCGTGAAAGAATGAGCTGGGGGTTGGGTGGGGGGGTCGCACAAAATGAAAGTAGCAACCTGTGATGAGGAAGGAGACAAGGAGAAGGGAATGCTCCAACGGCTCAGGGAGTGCCCGTGGGAAAGTGTTAGGTGAGTATCCCCTGGTTGTGCTGGCCTAGATAGACAGCGGTACCCATACACGCAGAAGGTCCGTTCTCTGGGTGGCTTTTTTACATATTTGCTGCCTCTGAAGGGGCTGGGGAAAGCAGGCTCCAGTGCTGAAGAAAATCCAGTGCCAATGCAGGTATTAGGGAACTTCTGGGTTATAGGAGTTGGGTCTAAATCCCAAAGCTTCCCAGCTAACAGTTAACGTGACCATGAGTCTGGCACACCTCAGCCTAAAAGTCACTCTCCAGGAGCAAGAGATGTTACAAGGCAAATGGTCTTTGGCCCTTGTGCTAAGGGACCATGACAACAAGAGGAGGACAACAAGAGGTCAGGGGGGCCTCTCTCCCAGATCCATGCAATGCTTGTGATCATACTGCTGGAGCATCTCCTTCCCACTGTGCCCCACATACCAACACGGGCTTTTAACTAGCTGGCACTGGCTCAAGCATCCCAGCCAAAGCCCTGGCACAAAGACTGAGGCAGGAAAGTAGGAGCTTTCTTTAGTCACATCCATGGTTCTGCCCTTAATCCAGCCAGGGCAGTGTGAGCAGCTGGGGGGTGCCATAGAGCAGGGGTGGGTGGGCAGCTTGGCTGTGTAGGTAGCAACTTGGCTGCTATAGAAAAGGGTCTGGCAGCAGCTTTCCTGTCTGAGAAGTCTGGGTGGTTCATCCAACCCCAGAGGAGGCTGCAGCATGACACATGAGATGGGTGACGAGAGCCTGGGTGGTTCATTCAGCCCCAAGGAGCAGAATAGAAACTGCCAGCCAACATGTTCTGGCTTCTCCATTCAAACAACAGGCTGCCAAGTACTCAAAACTGACCTAGAAATGACTGGCATTTTTGGCCCCTAACTTAGGTCAGCACCAGAACATCCCTCCTGGAATGGTACATGATTCCTAGACTGAAACTAGGTCCCTTCGACTGGGCTTCAGCTTACACTACATTGGTGCCCACCTCCTCTATAGCACAGAAGGGCATTCCCCAATAACCTAGTCCCAACCTCACCCCACCTTCTTCATCCTGTCTGGTTGCCCAGCCACAAAGAGAGACCTTTCTAGGTCATTTCAACCACCTAGAGTGGTCGATACCCAGTCTTGGACATGTCCAAATCCCAGAAATTCTCATGCTACTGACTGCCCCTGCACCATGTTGGACAAGTTTTTGAAAAGGATTCTGGGGCATGGCAGGGAACCTCAAAGTGCCAGCCATGGTAAGACTGAATTCAGGAGGTCTGGGAGAGGGCCACCGGAGGGCAGCAGGACTAGGGAGCAGCGGAGAAGGTTGACTCACAGCTGTGGCCCCAGGTAGGCAGCAGGCTTGGGCGTGCAGCTGTGACAGTGAATGAAATCTGCTCCTCTGTCTCCGCCAAGCTTTGCTTACTGTCCACAGACACTCACTGAACTACCTTCTCTCGCTCCTTGAAAACATCCACTCTTCCATCCAAGCTTCAATGGAAATTTCCAAAAAGGAGGTGGTGGAATCTGTGTGTTTGCCAGGGTCCAGCTCATCAGGATCTTGACAAGATCACAGGGCTGGCTTTGGCGTTCAGCCCAAAAACCTGGCAGGCACTAGTGTTAGCAAATGGGGCAGAACAACCAGAGCTGGAGGAGCAGCTAGTTACTAACAATGAGCAAAAGTCTGCACCCAAATCTTCACTCTAAGGTAAGGAGCTAACACTGGGCTTGGACAGAGGTGACCTGGGGTTTGGCCACAACTTGTTCTCCATTGTCTTTCATTGTTGCATGCCACACAAGCCTCCAGGTAGTGTGAAAACCCCAGAATGAAAGCAGGTGCCTGTCGCTATTTCCCACGTGACCAGAAGTATCCGAACTGTCGAGACACTGCTCTGCAGTGGTTTCCAGTCCTATTTTGCAGACACAAGGTGGTTCCACTCATTTGAAGGAGTCAATTATTTCCACTTCTCTGCAAAGATAATTAAGGACACTAACTTTACTTGAGACCAAGGATGTAGGCTAGGCTGATCGGAAGACAGCTTGGACAAATGCAGGGTGCTGTGAGAGGGCACAACTTCATTATCTTAAACAGAGCTGTACCTATTTATACTGGATTTGAATGTAGCCCCTAAATGCCAACCTATCCCCTCATATACCCACCCTCCTCAGATCATATGGCCAGATCCTCAGATTCTGGAAAAGAGCAGAGCCCTTGGTCTTCAGCACAAGACTTGCTCCTTCTCACAAGACTGATGCCTTGCTCCTCCATCTGAGGAGCTCACAGCATTGCACCAAAACTAAGAACCATCATCCCCATTTTGCAAGCAAGGAAGCAGACAAAGGAAGGGAAAAGACCCAGTCCCCCAAGATAGTCATGTTCCCAACTCCATTTGTAACCAGGCATTTACATGTCTTTGAGGATATGGGCTGAAGTCGCTCGGACAGCCTGGAAGAACAGGGATTTAAACCCAAGTCACCAAAGCCTGAGCCACAATATTGGCTAACCTAGCCTATATAAACCCAGCCTGACCCTACCTTACCACTGCTTCTCCAGGGCTCCCATCACCAAGTATCAGCAGAGCTGATGCCCAGTCTCACCTGTACCCTGATCCCTGCAGAGCTGAGGCCTTTCCCCCGGCCTGGGATGTTAACAACTTTCCCTTCCCATCTCTCCCCTGCACTTCCCTATCTCCCTTGGCTTCAGGCCACTGCTCCAGAGACAGTGAGTAATTCCCTCCTTTCATTTGCATTGTTACCTTGAAGGTATTTATAGACGCCAATCAAGGGCCCTCCCCCCCAACCGTCTCTTTTCTAGGCTACATAAATTTAGCTCCTTTAGCCCTCTCTGCATGTGTCTGTCCCGCCGCCGGGATCCTGAGCTCAGACGTGCGGGGGCAGGAATGTCCTGAATCCTTCACGTAGGGCCTGAGTGGCCTCCCCAGCCCTCAGGGACCCGCTCTTGCTTCCTGGCAATGGGGAGGCTGCAACATGACACGAGATGGGTGATGAGAGATTGGGCTTGTGCGAAGCAAGTGACTTCCCTCCTGGCTCAGCCCTGTCACCACACACGCGCATGTGTGTATGGGTATGTGTACACACACGCACACACCCGTAGTCTGCTCCCCCAGCCCAGGAAGGCCTCACCGCCCTGCCCAGTCTCTTTCAGATCACTGTTTCAATCTCCGGTATCAAACTTAGCCAAAATCTCAGTCCTAACCATCCTTCTGGCCGCTGTGGCTGACAGATCCCAGAAGCTCCTTCCATCACCTCTTGCATCTGGGTTTAGTGAACAACTCACCACTTCCCAGCACACCCTGGTCACTGCATGGGGCTGGCTCAGCCCTGCGCTCCTGGGTGTGCCTTGCTGCTGCACAGAGGACCAGGTCTGCTCCCAGGGGCCGGCCTGGCACTACTCAGAGCCCCTTCATCCTGCACAGATACTTGCACAGCCAGATTTCTTGCTCCTCCATGGCCACATGCCACAGAAATGACACTCATGCTCCTCAGCTCCCATGGCCAGTGGCAGTGAGGGGGAGCGTCCCCAGCAGAAGGCCTGGAGTAGGAGCCAAGACAGCACCTCTCCCTGGAGACTTGGAGAACATGCATTGTACAAGGCAGCTGTAAGCAAGGCTGCTGGCGGGCACCTACCTAGAGAACAGAAGCAGCTATTAATATGGGAGCCCTCGGCTTTATTGCCCATGTCCTGCTCTGCACTGACATCCAATCACCCACCCCTGTCTCTCACACACGTGTCTACAGGTCTGCTGGGAAACCTCGGGTAGATCCTTTGACTGGTTCCACAGTCCTGGCCAGGATCACACAGGCACTTCCAGCTCAGCAGATTATTGGTAGGGCAACAAAAAGAGCTCCTCAATTCTGCCTTAGCACAGGGAGCTGCTCTCCTTGAAGACTTCTGTGTATGTCTACCTGACACAATCCAGCTGCCTTGGAGGCCTGGCCCCACCACTCCAGCCCCCTCCAGGAGCTGGGGTTGCTCAGCCTCTTTGCAAGATGAGCCTGCCTTGCTGTCAGCAGTTGATGCCTGAAATGTTGAGTCAAGACCCAGCAGCTCTGCAGAGTGCTATTAGTGTCAGAGAAATTAATCCTCCAAAGAGACTCCAGCAATACATGCAGAGAAAGAGAATCTGTCCAATCCAAGGTGTGTGTGTGTGTGTGTGTGTGAGAAAGAGAAACATTTACTGTAAGTTTATAAGGGAAGGGTTGTTAAATATAGAAGTTGGAAAGCAAAATAAATCCAAGGAGCTCTTGAATTAGCTCGCCTGGGTCTGGGGCTGCAGTGAACACACCATCTGTTAGAAAAGCATAGCTCTTATGTTTGGGAACAGAAATACACAAAAGGAGAATTGCAGAATCTCAACTCGGTGCTCAACTGGTGAATTTAGCTCTGGTGCAAGATGCTGGAACCACAGCCTCTGCGGAGGGGCAGATGTGGGATGACATGGGCAGCAGCAAAGCAAGGCAAGGCAAGGCAAGCTGTTCCAAACACCCTCCCTGCCACCGCCGTATCCCGTCCCTGTCCCAGATGGAACGAGAGGGGAGTCTGGTTTCCACAGGGGCTCTTCAGTGCCAGTGGTCATTTGCAAGCTGCAAACACCTGTGCGCCAGGAGCTGGCAAGAGGCCTGGCAAACTCATTTCATACAGGGGCTGTCAGAGGCACCAGGGGATGGGAGCAACCTTCATTGCTTTGGATTGGTGCTGGGTTTGATGGCTAACTGATATCTGTTCCTACAAGCTCCTATCCCCCGAGCTGCCATGTTACCTGCATTGGGAGCCAAATGCTCATCCTTTGGGGTTG